CACTTTTAAAAATTGTGATTTTTCCTGTATATACCTATAACATATTATATTCATGTATGTCTAAAGCAAGGTTCACTTTACAGGATTGTATCAGTGCAATATCTGCTGAATCTGTTATTGTTAAAGGTGGGGCATTGTGTAGTCACATTCAGTGTGCAAAGTGATTTACCATGCTATCAACTAACCTAGACAGGACACAAGAACATACAGGTAGCAGATGTCATATCAATAATTGCCAAGTTGGGAGAATCTTCATCACTGAGTGGTAGTGTTTATTGTATTGCAGAGTGGTAGACATCTGAATGTAGATGTTATTGTTGCTGGATATTTAATTTTGTACAACAAGTGTTGTCTGATCCTTCAAAGAACTATAAGATATATTATATTCAGTTGTGAAAAATAAAAGCCCATTAGAACTACTAACGAATAGTACTGATAATTCTGTCTTTTTCAAAGTGAGAAACTTAAAAGGCTGGTGTGTTTTGTTTTATTAATGCAGTAAAATTTTACAGTGTTTTTCTGGGCTTAGGTATATGTTCTTTAGTGTTTATTATCCTTTAGTTAATGTAAAACTTGAAGTCTTAGCATGGTATAATGGTTCAAAATGTAAGGAAATAAATTATTTAAGAAATGGAGGTATATGACATCCATTTGTCATAATATTCATTGGAAACCCTTTGTGACATGATTAGTATTTTCTTATAATATGTAAAAGTCATGGAACGCAATGTCCATATTTTTTTATCATTTAGCTACACTTTATTGCTTCTACAGACTTGTTCTAATAATGAAGCTATGAAGGATATGACAAGAATGGTGATATTAAATTTCTCTAGACTAATAGTAAATTTTTCCACTCTGATGTCAAGAATGTTGAGCATCTGGACTCTGAGTGCTTTACCACGTGAGCAGTTTCTCCAAGTTCTTAGCTATTTATTCTTCTAGGAACTACCTATCTTGTGTAGAAAATGATAGTAACGGAAACTGTTCTCTGGAATTGGAAAAAGTTTTTGGTGGTTCATTTTCCAGTACTTGTAAGAATTACTTTATTATACTTTTGCAGGTCTTTTAAAAATAAAATTACTGTTAAGTCTGTATATTCAAGATTTAAGAAAATTCAGGAAAGCAGTACCATGGATGTACTGTAGACATTGTTTGCAAATCTGTAGTTTAGTAATTGGTACTAGCTTTTTTTTATCCTTAGGGGTCTTGTGAAACCACTTCCATGAGCAACATACCGGTCTGTCATCTTGGAGCAATGCATTCCTCCTTTTCAGAAGTCTTCCAAAGGCAGTTAGATCAAGCATTGTTAGGAATGTTGGAATGATCTAAAACTAAATCTTGGTTCTAAACGAGGAACAGAGAAATTCTGTAATATGACACTAGTTCTGTCACTTAGATTTTGATTGATGATTGAAGCAAGGTACAGTATAGAAAATATTTAACAATCTTGATATCATCAAGTTTTATGTTCTCTGATTCTCTGATGCCCTTTTAATGTTTAGCTGAATCCTGCTTCTGTGATTTTTTTTTTCTTTAACTTCATCAGCCTTTTTAACTTTCTTTAATAATTTCAAGTTATTTATATGTTGTCGTTTTTTTGGCCATTTTTGGAATGTAAACTTTATTATGTTGATGGTGTTTCCATGCAGTCTGATACTGTTTTCTCAGATTTTGCATTATATTTGCTAACTGCTTGTGCTACATCTCGCCTTGCTACTAGAGGCACCGTTTAATCTCAGTTTGTCATTTCTATAATAAACACTTAATAATTATTTGTTTGAATTCTTTCTATTCTGTCTGGTCTACTGTAGTTAGCCAGCAATCCTGAATGATAGGTGCTATCTCATTGAGAATGTTGCAGCTGCTGTGTGACATAACTTTGTGTTGATGTATACTCTGATGGGTTGAAGATTCCAAAGGTACTGTTGCCTGCATGCCTAAAATGAAAGTAGGTGCTTGCATCTGTGAAATATCCTTTCAGATTCTGAGTATATATAATGGCACCTGGTCTTTTAAACTACCAGTGAAAATGCAGTGGATTAGAATTTTGGGACATCCTGAGATTAACAGAAATCAAGTATTGTTTTTGGTTTGAATATTGCTCCCAGAGTAAAAGAGATCCTTAGAACCAGGAGTGGGGATAGGAAATTTTAAGTTACTTAAAAGAAAACTTAATGGTGATGATGTCATCAGCATTTGCAGAGTGGGGTTGCACCAACTGGATTACAGGCAGTGGATTGTAATCCATAAAATTACACTGAAATAAAAGTACAAGACCAAATAAAAGAAGTAGTCATGTGATCTGTTTATAGAATTTACAGCAATTTGCTTCTAGAAGTTATGCCATTTGTTTAAGTGCACAACAGGGTGTCAGCCAATGTTTGTTAGGCTTGTGCTGCAATTCTTTGGGGGAGGGTTTGTTGTTATTGTTTTATTTTGTTGGTGGTGATACAGACTAACATGACTACCTGTCTGAAAATTGAGTAAGAAGCTTCTCTGATTGCATTTAGCATGTTGAATCATCAGAAGCTTCTTCTCTAGGTTACGTTCACCATTCATGTGTTAGAGTAATGAAGTCCAACAGGCCTCATGTCTGCTGTATATTAATTATTGGTGCACTCTAGAACATTCCCCAACATCTTCTGTACACAGTGTTTCTGGAGGAGATATCAGTGTGAAAAAGGTACTCCTGTGACACAAACTTGGAAAACCATTTGTTGGATATGTACTGAACTATTTCAGTTTGCTTCTAGGCAGAGTGGATAAAAATGTTTTTTAAAACTGATTTAAATTTAACAGATGAGATTTTTTTATTATTTAAATTAAAAAATTAAAATTTTATATTGTGTTTTAAACAACTATTTAAATCAATTTCAATTTTTTTTAAAAAATTGATTTTTACCCACCCTCCTTCTAAGTGAGGGCAATGCATGTATAAAACTGAAAAAAAATTCCCATCTTATCTCCACAAAGTTGGTCAAGTTCAGTGTTAGCCAAGCGAAAACTAAAGATCTTGTCTATGTCAGGTTTATTCTTTTTGTTGTGTGTTTTTTCCACTGGTTGGGAGTAAAGGCATCAGCCCAAAACTTCTTACACATTTATGCAAGTGGAACACAAATGGCATAACTGTTAGAGGCAGTTTGCCTGAAGTTAAAAAATTTCCATAGGTATTGCCAGTTGCATATTGAATTGAATTCAGATGCAAATGATAAGGTCTATAATGATTTCTTGACACTATTTCCTCAAAAGGTTGCACCATAAACAAGAGGATTTTGACCACTAGATCAAAATGAAAGTGTCTGAGAGATCAATTAAGAAATAGAAATGTGTAAATTCATTGCTGTGAGGAAATTATTGTAACCAGTGGTATTCATACTAGAAGTCCTCAACGGATGGTAGTTTTAAAAGTACTGCAGCTAATTTATTTTTAATTTTATGTTCCAGTTTTTGAGAGCATAAATCCTTGTTTTCATGAAGGGAATATGCAATTATTGCAAAAAATTGAGTGAAGTATTTATTTATTTATTTATTTACATTTTCTTACTACGCAGTTATTGCAAAAAGTTGAGCGAAGGGATTAATTTTTACATTTTTAAAAAACAAATTGAAAAGAGATTGTTGTTCTTTTGACCTCTTAGTTTTTCCTAGTACTGTCTTCTGTTGAGTACTTATTATTTCATACAGAAAAGTGGACGGCACAGCCATTTGACATGCTGGTACTTTGTATGATTTAATTGCTTTTTATAACTATGGAATATTGCAATGATTTGAATGTTGTCCTGTTTTTATATTCATTAAATACTATAAAAAAAGAGTACCTTTAAAATAAAATAAGATTCGTAATATGAACATTGCTTCCCTAAAGCCTGTCAGAAATGATGTCTGGAAGGAGTGGCCTTCACCCTAGCATACTTCAATAAGCAATGCCAGGAAAAAAAGGGAAAACATTAAATCAGTTCCCTAAGGTGCTTTGTTTTATTTTAGAACAGGCATTTGATGCCTTGAAAGATTGTGTAACAATGTTGAATTAAATATGGAAACTATATTTTTAAGGAGATAATCATTGCATTGACAGATTAGCAAGGAACTGAGCATAATATGCTTTAATAAGAAATTATGATGAAAAGTTGTTCTTACAATGAGTAATACTTTTTCATATCATGAACATTTTTATTCAGAAAAATTCACACTGATTATTAAAAGAATTTATCTTTTACAAAGTGTGCTGCAGGTTCCTGCAATAGAATAGAAACAATGGAAGAGTTACATACAGTGGATTGTGGTTTATCAATTTTTGCTGCTGTGAGCCATAGAAAGGAAAAGTTTTTGTTCTCTTAATTCCTCAAAATCTCAGTGGAAAGATTAAACACGTGCTACAAATTGATATGTGCTCATGACAGGTTACCTTCTCAGGGGAGGCTGCTCTAAGTCATGTTATTATGTTTCTTGAATAGCAGAGTGATGGATAGCAGTGATGGATAGCTTTATAGTGCACGCTACTGTAACAGCAGTGTGCTTCTGTCTGCCCCCCAGGAAACTGCTGTGATATGTGCCACAAGTAACTGGGCTCAGTCATTGCTTTAATCCTGTGGAGAAGCTTGGATAAATCTTATGTGTGTACCCTCTAACCAAATGTAACTTAAACACTTGAGGATTGCCTGTTGAGTAGTTAGCAATGAAGTTTTATTCTTCTGCGCATCTGTTACACCCACAATATTTTACAAAAGCAATGTATTGGTGAGAAGTATGTAGAGAAACCGCAAACTCTTTTTAATGGACCATCCTATCCATTTTCTGTTCTTTTAAGGATGTTTTTCCTATTCATGACTCATTTCATTCTAACATCAAGGGAAATGGAATAACGATTAAGCAAAAGAATGTATGTGTTTCTGGGTTTTGTCCCATTCCAGAAAGTGTTATGAATTCTTGGTACCATGTTAAGTAAATAGATTGCTATAGAAGCTTTAGCAACTGTTAATAATGTAAAAAATGTCATGCTAATAACTTTAAAAAAATACATTTCTTCCTGACTCTTTAACGTTCTGTTGACTACTTCAAGTGCACTACTGGTTTAATATAAAAATGGTGCAGCAGCAGGTTACATAGGAGGGTTAAATGAAATTAATGAGATCACCCTTAGCTTTCATTTTGTGTTTTATTTTCATTTTATAGGTTTGTATGAGCTGCTGGCTTCATTGCCAGCCCAGCTGCAGCCACATGTGGATAGTCAGGAAGACCTGACCTTCCTCTGGGATATGTTTGGTGAAAAAAGCCTTCATTCGCTGGTAAAGGTAAACCACACTTAAATGCTCTTTTTTTAAAAAAAAGGACTTATGGAAAAACATTTTCCCAGCTTCTAGTAAACCAGGAATCAGACAGTTACTCAGTGAAAACAAAACTGCCTTGTTTAAACTCTGTGCTTCTGTGAGGGATGGAAGTTGTTAAAAGGATTCTACCAAAAATACAGAGATGATTTCATTTAATAGTGATGTTTTGGCAGTATACACTAATGTAACAAACACATGATGTTTGCCCTTGTTTAGAATGAGGTAGCACGAAATAGTAGCAGGAAATCTTAGACTCCTTCATGGTCAACATTCAAGACCTGGAATTTAGCTTAAATAAACAAATGTTCACAGCAAAAATTAGACAGGATATATTTTTGAGGTAAAATATGGCAACAGTTCAGTACCCACATTAATTTAAAATAATTTCCTTTAACAAAGTCAACTGAAATTCTAGTAAGACTCTTTAATTGGCTTGCCTCCATTGAAAATTGTGTTGAGCATATAAATATATTGCAGTTGATCATGAATAAAATAAACTAGGGAAAGTAATTCATGGATGTGTCCAACAAGAAATAGTAAATATTTATGAATTTAGTACTCTCCAAATTGCAAATTGCTGTACAATTTTTGTGTCTGTCACTGTATTCATACCACAATCATGCCATGATTTTATTGTTGGTGAGAACGAAAGAGAGGCTTTGCACTTCGAAGACAGAAGTGTTCTTTCCCCAGAGGAAGGGAGAGGAGGAGCAAAATGATTCTTATTGGGCCTTGCGGAAATCCCTCCTACCAGGAATCGGCAACAGAGACCCTCCAGATGTTTTTGAGCTGCAGCTGTCATGAGACATACCTGCCATAGCCGGAGATGAGGAATTATGGGACTTGCAATTCGAAGACATTGCCATATACCAATGTGACTATGTTCCTGCCAGGACTGTGCTCATAGTCATTTGAAAAATCATGCAAAAACAATGTTGTTTTAGAATGTATATGGCTTATAAATCATTATTCAAATTTGCATCCTTGGACTACATCTGGACATGTAGCTGCTTGAGGCAGTCTTCAGTTATGGAATGTCTAGAAGAATCTTTCTCTAAGTCTGCCTGGTTACATGCCTCAAACTGTTCTATTTGATGAGATGTGCCAGGTAGTGAGAGTTCTCGTTACTCAAGCTGTGCAATGTTTGTGATGTGAGCTGGCACAGAAGCTAGTTGGAAATTTCAGCATGTACAGAAGTTGTGACCAAAGCATCATGCTGTGAGTATGTTACATTGATACAGAACAGAATGAATGAAGCAAGGGCCAAAAACCCAAGGCTCATTTCACACAAGATAGAGATATTTGTATGGGATGAATTATTTGATCTAGTGTAGAACACAGGCTAAATGGAATTTCAAATAACTGTGAGATTCAGACCTTGAGTTATTTCATCTGTCCCCTCTCTTTAGCTGGCCAAGTGACTTCAGCAGGACAGATTGCTTGCATGCATTATCCTGCTCAACAGAGACAGTTCATCACCATTTAGCCAATTCTGCATGTGTTGAATGTGGGTCTACCTTCGAAATCTATATGGAAATTTCTGTTTGTCCAGAATACACCTGATATTTTGGGATCAAATGAATAGGAAACAGCACTTTGGTTGTTCGCCGTTGTTGTTTAGTCATGTCCGACTCTTCGTGACCCCATGGACCTGAGCACGCCAGGCCCTCCTATCTTCCACTGCCTCCCATAGTTGTGTCAAATTCATGTTGGTTGCTTCGATGACACTGTCCAACCATCTTATCCTCTGTCGTCCCCGTCTCCTCTTGCCTTCACACTTTCCTAACATCAGGGTCTTTTCCAAGGAGTCTTCTCTTCTCATGAGATGGCCAAAGTATTGGAGCCTCAGCTTCAGGATCTGTCCTTCCAGTGAGCACTCAAGTTTGATTTCCTTTAGAATTGATAGGTTTGTTCTCCTTGCAATCCAGGGGACTCTCAAGAACCTCCTCCAGCACCACAATTCATAGGCATCAAGTCTTCAGCAGTCAGCTTTCTTTATGGTCCAGCTCTCACTTCCATACATCACTATAGAAAAAAACCATAGCTTTGACTATTCATACTTTTGTTGGCAAGGTGATGTCTCTGCTTTGGTTGTTAAACAGCCCTATTTACTACCTTTCACTTTTGAGCACAAATTTAAACAAAGTTGTGAAGTTGTATCTTGCTTAGGAGGAGGGATAGACACTGTCTTGGAGCAGATGTGTAAAACTGGACTGAATTGGGGTGATGGTGTGATTCTGGGGCAACTATAGAGGAGAACAAAGAGCTTGTCGCCCTGGGACAGAGCAGTACATTTGTTTGTTTTTATCCTGCCTTTTTCTCTCTAAAAGGACACAAAGTGGCTTACATTATTAAAAGGGCAGCATTTAACAGCTGAAAACAATAGCTATGTAAATATTAAAAAAGAATTAGAACAATTATACTAAGAACAGTACATAAAATAAATACAAACACATTTAAAAGTAACAGAGCACAACAATACAATTTCCACCTACAAAAGCATCATTTTCTGTTTCATTTCTGAGGTTAAGAAATTTTAAAACCTTAGTTATTCAAACTGAGGAAAGGGGAGGGTGAAACTATACAGAATATCAATAGAGTAAGCTGCTTGGCACCAAAGGGCAAGGTGAAATCACCAATAAATGTCAATATCTTCTCTGGACACTCCAGACACTAAGGAGCGTTTAAACCAAAGTCATTGTGAAGTGTTTATGACCCCGCAGCCACATCACAAGCTATCTCATGGAGCTGCAGAAACAAAATGATGGAGTTCTGTCATTGTGTAGATTAGTCTTTGTGTTGTGGAATATTCTTTTCCTGCCTTTGTTCACAATTTAGTTTCCTAAACTCTATGTTATTTGGTTTGAGTGTGTATGTGACTGTGGAAGGATGCTTGTCATATGAGCTTTGAGTTGGATAGGTCACAATAGTTAAGGTACTAGGAATGATCTTTCCCCGCTCCTAGCCACTTTTTCCTTCTGTTCTTGTTGTGGTGGTGCAAATACTACTCTGGCTTGCCTTTGTGCTACAAGATGCCTATAAAGTCGGCCTTCCTCTGTACAACAGCCTTTTTTTGGAGGTGAGTGTGACAAACCCAGACCTACTGGGATCTGCCACACGTTAACTAAGCTGCCACCAACCATTCCCTATAAGAAGTCACACAGACCAGGGATGGATTTTTAACCAATAAAAGAATAAGGTTTATTTAAATACAACACACAGGGAAAATAAAATGATCAGGTGAATAAGATATAGTAACGTGGCTTAGTCTCATTCATACATGCACACAGTTTGGTTCACACAGAACCCTTAACTTGAAGCACAAACCCTGAACCTATCAGTTCTGGCTAACCAACAGACACCTGAACCTATCAGGTTGGTACTCTGACACACAGTAGTACCCTATCTGACACACAGACTCCCACACCAGCTTCTTCTTCCCAGCTGCTGCTTCGTCACATCCCAGCGTCTCAACTTCTCCACACACGCATCACATATATATACAGTACAGCCCCTCCTCCTGATGTCCCGCCTTCCACTCCCCATAGGATGGAACTTTCCCTCCAAACCCATGACAGACAGGTAACATCAGTGCTGTATGTAACAGTGAGTGCACCCTGAGTAAGTACACATCCCAATAATGCAGTCAGTATTTAAAGTCTAAGGTGTCTCCAGACATGATACTGTTGTGTAACCATTATCCCAACCATGATGTATAGCTATTTAGTTTTTCCCATTTATGATCAGAGACACACCAATTATGTTACAAACTCAGACAAGGAGTGGAGAATGTCTCCTAAAGGGTACAGAGAAGATCAGCTGTGATCTGTGTGCCTTTGTTCAGCCACAGTTTGGGCCCAATGGCTTTGGAACATACTTGCATGGGATACAGTTACAGTATATCACAGAAGTGAGTACACTCCCTCACATTTCATAAATATTTCAGTATATCTTGTATAATGTGCTATCCCTTCAAAATAACACAACACATAGCCATTAATGTCTAAACATTAATGGCAACAAAAGTGAGCACAACCCTAAGTGACAAGGTCCAAATTGGGCCCAAGTAGCTGTTTTCTTTCCCTGGAAGCAGGTGTTATTGCTCTCTCTGTCTCAGACTGGTCACTGGAAGTTCCACATGGCACCTCATGGTAACCAGCTATCTGAGGATTTGAAAAAACAAATTGTTGCTCTACATAAAAATGGCCTACGCTATAAGACGATTGCCAAAACCCTGAAACTGAGCTGCAGCACAGTGGCCAAGACCATACAGGAGTTTAGCAGGGCAGGTTCCACTCAGAACAGGCCTCGCCATGGTCGACCAAAGAAGTTGAGTGGCTGTGCTCAGCTTCATATCCAGAAGTTGGCTTTAGGAAAGGTGATGGACTGGCGAAACATGTCTCCAGACCTAAACCTTATTGAGCATCTGTGGGGCATCCTGAAATGGAAGGTGGAGGTGCACAAGGTCTCTAACGTCCACCAGCTCTGTGATGTCATCATGGAGGAGTGGAAGAGGACTCCAGTGGTAACCTGTGAAGCTCTGGTGAACTCTATGCCCTGGAGGGTTAAGGCAGTCCTGGAAAATACTGTGTTTCCCGAAAATAAGACAGGGTCTTATATTACTTTTTGCTCCAAATATGCATTAGGGCTTATTTTCAGGGGATGTCTTATTTTTTCAAGTACAACAATCTACATTTATTCAAATACAGTCCTATCATCTTCTTGTGGTTGCTGCACAATGCTGGAGGGTGAGGTTTCATTTAACTAGGGCTTATTTTGGGGGTAGGGCTTATATTACGATCATCCTGAAAAATCATACTAGGGCTTATTTTCAGGTTAGGGCTTATTTTCGGGAAAACAAGATAATGGTGGCCACACAAAATATTGGCATTGTTTGGACATTGTTACTTAAGGGTGTACTCACTTTTGTTACCAGCGGTTTAGACATTAATGGCTGTGTGTTG